ATTGTAACCCCCCGTGTGCCACTTTCGCTATCGACGCAAAACAACGGGGCCGATTGCGCCAACGTTGGCGCGTAAACTGCCCGCGTAAGGTCGCACGTGCGTGCTCTTTTCTGCAGCGTAGCATTCTGCGCTGGCGGCCTGCGTAAGCCATAGCGTACAATCGCTATGCCATGTTTCGCGCAGTCTGTTTCTTTTCGTCACCCACGGCAGTTGCAGCCCTCTTATATGATGGGTTTGGCCAAGAGCACAGCTCGAAGAAGACACATCAGCATGAACACCAACTTTAGGGATTCTGCGCAGATGTCTTGGATCTGCGCTGGGCCCCCTGGCGGTGCCTCCAGCGCTGGAACAGAGCGTGCTGAGATGCCGGCGGCGGCTGCTGAGGGGATGGGTTTATAAGCAGATGTTAAGGTGGCAAATATCTTCGCAGGCGATGTTTCTCCCCCAGTCCCCGAGTTCTGCCTTGAAAGTCAGGTCGCTCAGGAAATGGAGGGGATTCTGGCGTTCACCCCCAAGAGGCTATTCGGACGCACCCCTATCGAGGATGGACTCCCCCCCAGACGATATCCCAGGGTTGGGCCAAACATTTCAGTCCAGTCGAACCCCCTAAAGTGCAGGATTGGGGTCGCCACGCACCTCATCTGATCTGGTCCCAACCAGCGTATAGGTGGGGTACAAGTGCCCGAAGTGGGCTCGGTGGAGTACAGAGATTGTAGAAGTTTGTGGAGCCCACTTAGCGGAGGAGTTCGCTTATGACCCCTAAACTGCTCAAGGTGCATGTAGCCCCGTTGTAAGCCAGGTCCAGGCCAGATGAAACCCACCTTGGCATCAACTTCTCGGAGAGAGCGTGATCCACCGCCGCTTTACTATGGAAAATTGCCCTCTTCTCCTCCTGAACCCGGGGGTCTCCCCCCCTCCGAAATCCCCCCCCCCCCTGTGGACCCCCCCCCCCCCCCCTCCCCGGCAAAACCCTCCCCTCCCCAACCCCCCCCCCCCCTCCTCCTCGAAAACCGGGGGGTCACTACGGTCGAACCCCTCCCCCCCCCCCCCTCGAAAACCGGAGGGGGGGACATTACCGGCTCGAACCCGTCCCCACCCCCTCATCACCGCCAGCAAACGGCTCCCGGTCCCTACCACCGTCCGCACCACATCCTCCACTGTTGTTCGCAGCACCACTGTCCTCACCACCACTGTCCCCACTGGTTCCACCACCGTCCCTACCACTGTCGCACTGTCCCGACTGTCCCCACCACTGTTCCCACCACGGTTCCACTCCCCCCACTTTCTCCACGGCCCCAACCACTGCCCGACTATTCCCACTGTCCCCACTGTCCCACTGACTCCTCCGCTGTCCCACTGAGCTGTCCCGCTGTTCCCACCACTGTCCCCACTGTCCCCACTGTCCCCACCACTGTACCTCTGTCCCATTGTCCCACCGCCGTCCTCGCCACCGCCTTCATCACTGTCCCCACCACCACTGTACCCTCCACTGTCCCACCGTTTCCACCACATTCCCACTGTCCCCACACCACTGTCCCCACCACCAGCGTCCCCACCACTATCCCACTGTCCCCACTGTCTCACCATTGTCCTCACCACTGTCCCCACCACCACCGTCCCCACCACTATCACACTGTCCCCACCACTGTCCCGCTGTCCCCTCACCACTGTCCCCACCACCACAGTCCCCACCACTGTCCGCACCCCCCCCGGTTTTCGAGGGGGGGGGGCTCGAACCGGTAGTGACAACCTCGGTTTTCGGTTTTCGAAGGGGGGGGGGTTCGAACCGGTAGTGACCCCCCCCTTTTCATGATGGACTGCGGGGGGGGCCCCCCCCGCAGTCCTCCCCGGGGCCCCCCCCGCAGTCCTCCCCGGGGAAATCAGGGGGGGTCACTACCGGTTCGAACCCCTCCCCGGGAGGGGTTCGAACCGGTAGTGACCCCCCCTGATTTTCTGGAGGAGGGGGGGGGAAGGGGTTCGAACCGGTAGTGACCCCCCCCGGTTTTCCGCCAGCAGCGGTAGAACACGCTCTTTCACATCTCGACTCCCTACAGTCGAGCATCCGATAAACATTATATACACAAGAACACTCCGCCCAAAAAGCTGGGCCAGCGTTTCCTGCCAGAAAGCTGGCCCGGTCTCTTGGGCACGTCCGCTCCCCGGGCGTCCACGACAGAACTCGGCCCGGGCTTATTCCAAGAGGCTCCTGGGAAGCCGGCCCGGATCTCTCACAGGAGATGATGTGCTGGCTCGCATTTGCGGATGTAGGAGGAGGAGGAGGAGGAGGAGGAGGAGGAGGAGGCGGTGATCTCAGCAGGCCACCCCTCGCCAGCGGCCAGGGCCCGGGCGCTGCCGGCCAGCGCTCGCCGCCCGCCCCCCTCGCGGCAGGGTCGTCGCGTCGCGCGTCCTTCGCCGGGGGGTGCGCCGTGCGGCACGGGCGAAAGGGATACGGTTATGTCGGGCGTGTCCCCCTACAGGGGGATTTTCCACGAAGAACAAAAAATACCCCAAACATGATCATACAATAACCCAAAAATAAGTATGGGGACTATTTTTGGTGTATTTTTTTACCTTTTTGGTGTATGTTTGGGGTATTTTTCATTTTCGTCGAAAATCCCCCTGTAGGGGGACACGCCCGACTTAAGGGTACGGCCGTACCGAGGCATCAGATCGAGGTCGTTTTGGGGAGGGTTACCTCAGTGTTCTTCGTTCTCGTTGGATGTTCGTGTGCCTCCTGGAAGAGGATGCGCTCGAATGCTTTTCAGTTTGGCCGGGGGGGGGTCTCGTGGTCTTGATGGGTGTTCGTCTGTCCTAGGTCTGGCCGTGCACGTTTTGAACAGGACTCGCTGTCCTCCCCGCCGCGGACGTTGTCCATTTGAGACAGGGTCGCCCGCCCGGCAACGGCCGCTGTCGGTTTTGGACAACGTTTGTTGTTGGGCATCGTGCCCAGCTGCTTCTGTACCCATTTTGCGCGCTCGAAATTGTGTGTGTGTGTGTTCCTGGTGTGGTGGTTTTTAGTTCCGCATTCGCAGGAGAAGATAAAGGGGCCCCAGGACACACACACACAAATACAAACAACTGACAGGATTTTCTATATTTTCCCATAGTTTCTGGGCTTTTGTCTTCCCCCCCACTTCCCATAGTTTCCCATACTTTTTCTGGGGAGTCGACGATTCATTGTGTCTGCGTGTTTCTTTCCCTCCCGAGAAGAGGAGGCCGAGGACGCGGAGGGGGCGGAGGGTGAAGACGAGCGACGACCGAAGGGAAGGGGTGCCGCGAGCGCCGGGAGGAGGAGGCAGCCCCCTCCGGGGCGGGAGGGCGTGCCGCTCCCCAGGGCACGAGCTCGGTGCTCCTCCCCATCGACAGCCCCTTCTTCCCAGACCCCCTCGAGTCATGAAAAAATCACGACGGGCGGTTTTTCCATATTTTCGGCCTCCGGGGGCCCCTACCGGGCCTCGGGACCGTCAAAAAACGACTCAGGAGGAAACACCGGTCCTGGGGAATGGGTCCAAACCTCTGGGGGTCGACGTCATGAAAAAATCATGACGTCGGGGGTCTGGGTTTCGGAAGGGAAAGCAACACACAGACACAATTGATCGCCGACTCGCCAGGAAACATGGGAAAATATGAAAAGTGGGGGGGGGAAGGCAAAAGCCCAGGAAATGTGGGAAAATATAGACAATCCTTTCAATTGTGTGTATTTATGTGTGTGTGTGTGTGTCCTGGGGCCCCTTCATTCTTGCTGCTCCTGCTGCCGCTGCCTCCTCTGCAATTGCCTCCTTCCTGTCACTTCCATCGCCCGTGTCGTCGCCGCCGCCATCGCCGCCGTCGCCGCCGTCGCCGCCGCCGTATCCTGCTTCGTCTTTCTGTTCGTCATCGTCGTCGCCGCCGCCGTCCTCGCCACTGCACTTGCTCGTCATCGTGCTTGTTTGTATGGTTCCTCGTACCCGGTCCTTCTACGGATCTCCTATCTGCCACGTCCTCGCTGTCATCGTCCTCATAATGTTTTTCCTTGTCTTTCCCGTCTCCGTCGTCCTCCTCATCCCCTTTGTCGTCCTCGTCCTCCCCCTCGCCTTCCCGCTATCGCTACCCTTGTCATCATCTCCCTCCCCCTCTTCTTCCCCCCCTCTACCTCCCCCGACTACTGCGAAGGCCTTGCGGCCAGTGCCACCGACCCTGAAGGGGGACGACGACCGCGATCACGACCACGCCCACCACCGACGCCCTGCCCCGACGACCCGCCCCCTGGCTTCGGCCACGACTTCGACCACCCCCGTCCGCGACCGCCCCCGCCCGCGACCCGACCCTGCCTGACGACCGCGACCGCGTCCACCCCGACGACAGCCCCCGCCCCGCCGCCCATGGTTTGCTTGCTTCCTGCTGTGCCTGCTGCTGCCCCCCCCGTCTCTCTCTTGCTGCCCGCGCTCGTTTGTTTCTGTCCTCCCCCTCCTCCTCTCCCTCGTCCTCCTCCCCCATCTCCTCCTCTCCGGGGCATTCCCCACATCATCTGCCGTCCTTGCCCAAGTTCTGCCTTTGAACCCCCCCTCCCCATGGCTATTGGCCGGGGCGGCGGAGCCGGACATGTGATCGGTGGCGGAGTTTGACTGCTGCATCTGGGGGTGGGGCAGATCCACTCGTGAGCTCACCTCTTTCTCGAGACCTCGCATGATGGCGCTGATGCGTTTGAGGATTCGGCACGCGGTGACCCGACAGATGCGCGGTCGCAGCGAGAAACGACGACGACGACGACGACGACGACGACGACGACGACGACGACGACGACGGTGACGCGGCGGCGGCGACGGCGACGACGAAAAGCATTCAGAAACGTGAGGCTAATCCCTATCCCCCCCGCCTTCCCCCTCTCCCTGCTGTTCCTCCACCTCCTCTACTTCGTTTTCCCCCTCCACGCCTCCTCCTCCTCGACTTCGTTTCCCCCCTCCACGCTCTTGCAGAGCCCGCTCCGCCTCCTCCTGCGGGGCTGGGATGGCCCACGGCAGGACCGGGTGTTGCTTCAGGCGCCGAAGCACAGGCTGAACTTGCCGTTGCCGCAGCGGGTCAAGAAGGATTCCGACAAGGGGGGTGGATCATGAAATCTGCGGGCCACTGGCGAAACCTACCCTTAGACAACGCTTTTTATGAGGATGGGCTTCGCCCTCTGCCGCGGGCCCCCTCTCTATCATAATGTGATAGGTGACGAGTTGAAGGAATCTCATAACCTCATGTGTGCTAGGAATCGTGGCCTCGGGGACGAAAGCCTGGCTTAATTTACAAAGGATCATGTTCTCGGGCGCGACTCTGTTTTAATGTACGAGGGATCGTGGCCTCTGGAACGTGAATCCGGCGCATCGACAACGGGTCGTAGCCCGACGACGAGAGGGACGGATGGTGATGAGGAGGAGGAAGGGCGTCCCAGACCCCCGACACCGCGCCTTGCTTGTTCACAACGTGGACCCCTGGGTCTGGAACCCTTCCCCTGGGGCCGGCTGTTCCTCCCGAGCCGTTCTCTCGAGCGGCCCCGGGGGCCCCGGCGATGGGGCCCCAGAGGCCGAAGACGTCTAAAGCCTCTCAGCCCCCACTCGCCGTGCCAGTCGTGGTGTCTCTGACGGCGGGAGGGCTCTTGGGCGAGGGGGCCGACTTCACGCCGCCCTTGCGTGTGCGCCCCCGCCCCCCCTCCGCGACCGCCACCTCCTGCGCCTGGAGGGCCTCAGGGCAGGTTCGAACCGACCGTGAGCTTCAATCCCCACCAGTCAGGCAATCTTCTCCTTGTGGTCGCCCGCAGGCACCAGCGCCAGTTAAAAAGGAGTCCTCCGCTCGGCCCCCTCCGCCTGTGCAAGTTCGCCCCGGCGCGTCCCGCTCAGCCTCCGGCGGCGCCGCGCGGCCTCCGGCGCCGCGGCAGAACGAAGTGCGCGCGCCCACCACGTGATCGTTGCCGGCACGAGCATCAAAACCGCGGGGCCAGCCCCAAAACCCGCCCGCCCGAACCCGGAAGCACGAAACACCACTTCACTCGTGGGCAGAAGGTACGCGCCTCCACGTGCACGGACCCGATTCCTTCAGCCTCTGTAGCTGAAGACCGTCTCTGTCGAAGCCTCGAGATTGCAAGCGGGAGAGTGCCGAGTCGTACGCTGAGCCTAAGATAGCCTAGCATCCGGAGCAGCAAAAGCCTTCTTTCTACCTAGTATAGTAGGCGTTACACTTCGATCCAGAAGAAATCCGAAGTCTACCCGCCCGCGGCCACCACTCGATCGTCGCCGCCACGAGCAGCGGAGCCACGAGGCCGAGCCCCCGCGGGCCCCCAGCTCTCCGCGGCGCCTCCGTTCGGCCAGCCGTTCCTGGCTCCTGCCGCGCAATAGCGGCGGCCGCCCCCCGTGCGCGGGCCCTGCCCGCCCGCCCGCGGCTGGAGGGGATGCTGCTGCAGCAGCGGGCGCTGGCGAGGCCCAGAGGAGGAGGACCTGCCGACGAGGAGCGGGTCGGACGAGAAGGGGGCGATGGGGATCGAGGAGGGGGGGGGGCCGGACAGCCTCGCGGCGTGCAGGAGTCACAGCGGAAGTTCTTCCCCACCCGACAGCGCGTGGGGTTCTCCAGTTGCAAGGGAAGGGCGCTGGACCCGCCTCGCACAGCCTTCCCACCGGCGGGTGCCGGTGACGGTGCCGGTGCGGGTGCGGGTGCGGGTGCGGGTGCGGGTGCGGGTGCGTGCGCGCGCGCGCGTGGGTGTGTGTGTGTGTGTGTGTGTGAGTGTGTGTGCGTGCGTGCGTGCGTGCGCGCGCGTGCGTGCGTTCGTGCGCGCGTGTGTGTGTGTGTGCTTGTGTGTGTGTGTGTTTGTGTGTGTGTGCGCGCGTGTGTGTGTGTGTGTGTGTGTGTTTGTGTGTGTGGGTTTGTGTGTGTGTTTTTGTGTGTGTGTGTGTGTGTGTTTGGGGGGGGGGGCACTTGGCTTGCATCCATATTCATCGCAGGGACGACTTCTGCTGAGCGTCTCGCTGTCGTCGTCGTCGTCGTCGTCGTGGTCGTCGTCGTCGTCGTCGTCGTCGTGGTCTGGACTCGCCTCCAACGCAGCTTGACCTGCACCGTCTGCCCCCGCTCCACCTCGCTGGACCTCACCTGACCGCCTCTCCCGTTCTGGCCGGGCCCAGCCTGGGCCCAACCTCGGCGCACCAGTGCCCTCTTGGCCAGGCGCGCGAGGCGCAGGCACCGATCCTGGCAGGGCCCGTCCTGGGACCAGGATCGGCCCAGCCGAGCCAGGATCGGTCGAGGCGGTCCCAGGCCGCCGACGTCGTGCTTTTTTATGCAATGTGGACCTTCAGAGCAGTGTTTTGTGACAGTCTTGCAGGCCGTTCGAGGATTCCCCCAGAGGCCAGAGTATGAGCAAAAACCTTCCGGCACGAGTTCTCTTCAGAACCAAAGGAGGTCCGGGCCTGGGATTGTCCAAGCCTCCCACGTAGGGTCCGCGCAGGCGGGGTCGGTCGGAGGGTCGCGCCGCATCGCGGATGCATCGGCGATGCTGCTCGATGGGGAGCCCGATTTTCTCCATGCCGACGGCACCGATGCATCGCCGTCGCCGGTGCGTCGGCGGTGCGTCGGCGGTGCGGCGCGATCTTCCCACCTTGTCTGCTCGGACCCCTTTTGGGAAGCCTCCAAGAGGAGGAGGGTGGGGTGTTACGAAACTCGTCCCAGGTCCACGGATATCCAGGGACCACCCACGGCCTCCAGAGGCACCCCTCGCGAGGCCCAGATGGCCCTAGTGGGCTCCGAAGTAGTGCGAGAGGCTGGGGACATCTTGCGCGATCTGAAGCTCACTTCTCCCATCTGTGGCCATTATCATGCTAGCAGTCGTGGTTTGTTGTCCTTCGTCGTCCGTCGTCCGTTGTCTGTCGTCCGTCGTCCGTCGTCCGTCATCGTCGTCCGTCGTTCGTCGTCTGTCGTCTGTCGTCGTCGTCCGTAGTCGTCGCCGTCGCTGTCGCTGTCGCCGACGTCGTCGCCGTCGGCCGTCGTCGTCGTCGTCCGTCGACGTCGTCGTCGCCGTCGCCGTCGCCGCCCCGGCCAGGCGCGGCGCGCGCGCGCCCGGCCCCGACGCCCCGCGCCGCGGCCCCGCCGCCGCCCGCGCCAGCGGCCGCGGCGCCGGCGGGCCGCGGCGGCCGCGGCCTCCGGCCGCCGCGGGGCCCTGCGGCGCTGCTGCTGGCCGTGGGCGGGCGGCCGGGGCGCCGCGGCGCGCGGCGGGGCGCGGCGCGGCGCGCCGAGGAGGCGCCGCGCGGGCTGCTGCCGTTCCCCGCCGGGGCGCTGCGAGGGCCGCTGGAGGCCAGGGGGGATCGTCACGCAGCCACGAAGTGAATGGGTTGCAGCTGGCACGAGGGTTGCACGCCGGTCGTCGGAAGTAGGTACTTGCTTTCCACGACCCACGTTCGTTTGGACTACGTATTTCTGGATTCCCACATCCCGATCAATTTCAAGCGCCTACCTACTTCCTCCGACCGACGGGTAGGAACATTCATAGTCTTGGAGGGGGGCCCATCTGCTCTTCGCCGTTGGGCTCTCCGCCTTGGAGTGCTCGTCGTTTGGGATATATCTCCACGGGGCCTTGGGCTCTCGGCGAAGGGGCGGGCGGCAACGGGGGGTGACCTGCCTGGGTGGTGGGGAGAAGGGTCCTGAACAGGCCCGTCAGGGCCCCTGTCGGAGCCAGCAGGGGCCCGAGAGGGGCCCCAAGGGGTCCCGTTTAGGGCCCTGCTCTTCACCCCCCATTTGGGCGAAGGATTGCAAAAAAACCAAGGATTGCAAAAAAACGAAGGATTTCTTTTGCAATCCTTTTTTTTGCAATCCTTCGTTTTTTGTTTCTTTTCTTTTTTTTGCAATCCTTTTTTTTGCACCCCACTACCACCCGCTCGAGAGAAGCGAATGCGTACGCAGACCAACACGGAACGAGTTGAGACAAGGATAGTTTGCCTCCAGGGCCCGCCTCGTCGCCACGGCGAGACGCAGCTGGGACAGCTGGTGCGTTTAGGCCCCAGGAGGGGTCCAGGGGACCGATTCTGAGCTCCCTCTGTCTCACCTGAGGTATTTCGGCTTTGTCCTCCACTTCCTCTCCCTCCTCTGCCTCGCTGTTCGTGTTTCCGAGAGTTGCCAATCGCGCGCTCTTCTGCCCACGCGTTCCGCTGGATGCTCGGCTGAATAGGAGGAGGAAGAGCAGGAGGAGGGGGAGGAGGAGGAGGAGGAGGAGGAGGAGGAGGAGGAGGAGGAGGAGGAGGAGGAGGAATCGGAGGTGGAGGGGGCAGGAGGAGGGAAGAGGAGGAGGAAGATGAGGTGGAGGAGGTAGGGTAGGAGGAGGAGGAGGGAGGAGGAGGAGGAATGATAATTCATAATAATCAGAATACTAAGATGAATATACTTGGAAATTATTAATAATATATAAGAAGAGGAGGAGGAGCGGAGGACGAAGGGGGAGGAGGAGGAGGAGGAGGAGGAGGGGGAGCAGGGAGGAGGAGCCAGGAGGAAGGAGGAGGAGGCGGACGGAGGAGGTGGTCTGCATAACGTTCGCCTGGTCGAGGGAGCACGCTCAGAGGCGGTGTTCCTCTGGGGGTCAGGCAGCGTCTGCTGGACGGGGGGTAGGCGACACGAGGCCGAGGAGGAGGAGGAGGAGGAGGAGGAGTAGGTGGCGGGGGAGGAGGAGGAGGACGGAGGAGGAGGAGGAGGAGGGAGGAGGAGGAGGAGGAGGAGAGGAGGGAGGAGGAGGAGAGGAGGAGGGAGGATGGCAGAGGAGGAGGAGGAGGAGGAGGAGGAGGAGGTGGAGTAGGAGGTTTGAGGACTGAGGAGGCTAGGGCGGAGGAGGGGAGGAGGAGCAGGTATGTCTGAGGGGGAGGAGGAGGACGAGGGGATGAGAAGGATACGGGCGGAGGATGGGGGGTAATGTAGGGCTTGAGTAGGAGGAGGAGGAGGAGGAGGAGGAGGAGGAAGAGGAGGAGGAGAAGGAGGAGGAGGAGGAGGAGGAGGAGAGATCCTTCACGCGAGGGTCGGCTGCGCGTGCGGAATGGTCCTTCGCTGGAGTGACCTCCGGTGCGGGCCCGTGGGGTATCGG